TATATATATATATAATATATATATATATATAATATATATATATAATGTTATACTGTAGGTTATGTTGTTGTATGTACAGTACAAATAATTATACACAAACACACGTGTATGTGTGCAACACAATTTTCGAAAGGAACCTTTTTACACCTACTAGAGATGCAGCCACACACTTAAATGGAAGTGGATACTGTGGAGTTGGTGCTCTCTTGTGGTTGTCCTGCACCTGCACTCCCTGTTGTCCCATCTCAGTAATTAGTCTTTCCCTGTTTCACATGTGTGTTCCTGTCCTGATGTTTGTGGTTTTGTCTCATTACTCTTGGTATATACAGTAAGTCTGTTCAAGCCTCCTGAGTTTCCAGTGATTTCTCTGTTTCCTGTTACCATGAGTTCATCTGCCACGTCAACTCTTTGTTTTTGTTTATTAAAAGTATTTCTTATTTTAACCTCTGTGTCTCCGAGTCCTCCCTGCACCATTGGGTTCAACCATTGCTCCCAGACCGCAACAGGTTCCTCAGCTTTGTTCTAAGTTGTCATGCTCATGACGTGCACAGATGGATGTATTTCCATTTCCTCCTCTGTCCTCCATGACTCGGGACAATAAACTTTACTTACTTACTACTTTACTTAGTAAACTGTGTAATTAGTCATGTGATGCAGTGGAGCAGGTTTGTCTGCTGGACCATGCTGTTAATATACAGTTATTTAGCGTTAACTGTTAGTCCGCACGTTTGCTTTTGAGTGTTTGTTTTTCTAACACAACAAACTGTAAATAGGCAGTATCATCAGTTGTTTATCACATCAGCATTAGTAAATGGCTCGAACTGATATATGAAGTACGCTGTTTTATGATTGGATGTTTTTTTTTTTTCATTGAATGTATGGAAATGACAATAATAAACGTCCATTCATATTTCATCCATCCACCCACTTCTTCCTTTTTTGGGTTGCAGGTCCATTCATATTTATTCAAGTAAAACTGCAACTTCTTTGTGCAAGAGGTTTTATGAAGTATGCATCTACTCATGACAAGAATCACATTTTGATGCGGTTTGAAACAGGACAAGAGTTGATCACATTCAACGCTGTAGATGAGTTACCTTTAGCTAAGAGAACGGCAGGTTCATCTGGATGCAGGAGGTGGAGGTAAATTGATCTTTTGCCCATCTCCACCCAGTTACTGTGGCTGTAGAAATCCTAATATAACAAATGTTGAAGCAAAATGTAATAATGTTTGTGCATAATGCCATGGTTTGATTGCATTTACATTCCAAACATTTATTTATGCCAAATAAAATCAATAAAGGCTGTAATGAAAAAATTTACAGATCATGCATGTGTTAAATGTTGTGCCCTTGAAACTTTAATCTCAACAATGTGACTCATTTATCAGATTTTAAATAATCCTGTTTGTATTTACCTGCAGGGAATGGAAAAGCTGACCCAACCTGTAGCGAGCACTCTTGTACTCTTTGACGTGCACCGAGAGCACAGTCTGAGTCCAGAGCTGCCGGAGCATTTTAATGGAGCCATCGACGCGCTCCGAATCAAAGTGGTAGACCGGGTCAAACCTGGTAGAACTCAAAAAGTCCATGTTGGCATTAGCGGTTACCACCTCCCTCACTGCTCTCCAAAAGCTGCGACCAAGTCTGATCTGGGAACAAATGAAATGTGGTTGTTCTCTCTTCAGATGATGGTGCATTGTGCTGCTACGTCTCTGGTGCTGCACAGGGAGCTCACCTTTTCCTCTGCAGGATGTTTCATGGTGCTCCTCAGAACCTCCAGAGTTACATTGAGGATGGTCTTCTCTGTGATGAACTGGTGTGTTTGGGAGTCCCAGGACAGAGTCACCACCTGAGACCAAAAGTTGGGAAGGAACCCCTTGCATGGTGAAGTCAGGATCAGAAGGCATATCGGACTGAACCAGAACAATGTGCTCTGCCTTCCTTCACCGGTTCTTCTTTTTGACAACATGATGCACCAGAGGGGAAGTCACATCCTAGGCATGAAAACATAAATGATACATTTCTAAACAGATGTAAGTTCTGTTGAGATGAACCAGTAAAGACAGTGTTTTTATCGTCAGAGCTGTTTTAGTAAATTTTATAACTGAACTTTTCTGTCATCTTAAAAAGTCGTTCCCATGCACTAAATCAGATGATTTGAATTAATCCACCCACCATTGTTCCCTAAAATATGTCCTAATTGGATCTTGCTGTTACAGTCATTTGTGCTTTCTGTCTTCACCCCCTCTTACTAACCCCCCACCCCCCATTCCTTTTCTCAGAGTGGTCTACCTTGTCTGTACACTGTTTGCTATTGTTCTTTGTCATGTTGAAAGGCACAATGTAGCGAGTTAGTTCTCACAGTCTCTGTTTTAACGAGGAAGACACTGAAACAAAGGCCTACAGGATCGACCTACCGCCTGCCTGCATGTAATGTTCAGCACCAAAATAACTGAAAGTGTAAGTACAGGATGGTATAAGGAAGAGGACTAGGGCCACGGTGGTAAAAATGTATTTATGTTTTAGAACTCTGATTTTAATCTCAAAATTGTGAGGTTTTTTTTTACCATGTCCCCCATGCTCTTGTATACACTGTTTCTCTTTTTTCTCTTTTCCCATAAGTGATTGAATCTTTTTTCACATTTGAACAAGTTGAACTTGTGAACAGTTGAAGACTTTGCACAGTTTCTCATCATGCTCAGCTCAGTTTGCTCATCTGCTCAGATCTAAAACGATCCTTTGATCACAGAGCGAAAAGTGTCAGCTGTGAAGGTGCAGTTGTGTTTTTTTAACCACAAACTTTAGTCGAAACTCACACCTCATATGCTCTTAACCCACTTTTTTTATTTAAGTCTCTCAAGTCAAATATAAAGCTAAAGCTCTTGATTAAAAACTTTCTTACCTTAGTTCTTGCTAGTCATTGCTTAGCGTTTTGTGGTTTCTTCTTTCTGTTCTCAACAGAAACAAAAAGTTCTGCAACACTACAAACGTGGGTATGGAGGTCGATAAAAACTTTCACCACAACCTGTCAAAAAAGATCCTCCTCTGAAGTGCAACAATGTTTTGGTATGCGCAGCAAAAAGACATGGAGTCCTCTCATGTGTTTGTCCTTGGACTCTTGTCTCGGCTGGCACCACGGTGGGGACAAGAAGAAAGACAGAAAAAAATGTGGAAGACACTTTGTTTCACTTGGATAAGACTCCGGTTAATGCAGTAAGTTCTTCAGGGTGCTTTTTTTTTTTTAACCATGAGGCAGAAGACCTCTGGTCATAGCCCCCACTACAACCCCCACATTAAATCATGGTGCATTGATTCACGACAATAGGGCCGCATATATTACCAGCCGGGGTGTTCAACTTCAACTAACCCCAACCCCCCCCCCATGCCCTCCATCCATCACTCTCAGTTTCCTTCACAAAACCAAAAAACAAATAAAAAAAACTGCACTGTCTAAACTTTAAACATTATGATCCCTTTTGCTCTGCCTCTTCACACAGACCTGCTGTGGCATTGCAAAACAGGTGGCATCACTTTAGGGACTGTTACACCAAGGACTTAAAAAATGCACTTTTATTCTATAGTTGGGGGGAAAAAAAAAAAACACTAAGACTGCATGAGATGCTCCATTATGCAGCTAAAATCACATGCAGCTTATTCTTGATGTCCTGCCACAGGAGAGTGGTTGTTTTTTTGTTTTCCTGGATGACAAAAACAAAAGATGCTTTAGTCACATGCTTGAAAGTGTGGATTAATACCTAATATCAAGCTAAACACTTTATTGTGAGTTTTAGTCTCTGTTTGCACGTGAAACATCAAAAAAGTAATAAATGTTATGATGTTGATTGTAAAAACTTTGCATGTTCACACAGTTATGATGTGAATGCAACTGTTGTTCAGACGAGACCTCATAAGACATTGAACCTGCAGTAGTTTCCATGTAACATGCATGCAGGCACTTGAATGTCAACTAGTAATTTCTAGTCTTTTTTTCTTTGCCTTGTTTATGTCAGAAAACCTGTGTAGACGAATGGTTGAAATGCAACAGTAGGCCTATAAAGGCAAAATGTTCAGTTTTAACTTAAAAATATGTAAAGTGCGCATTAGAAATCTGAAATGATTGTGTCTGTGTATGAATGGGTATTTGTTAGGCCGAGACTCGGACTGCCCCCTCTTTGATACAACTGGGGGTGCTTGGCATCGCGCCCCTATCGCGCGGCCCCCTGGTGGGATGTGCTCTTGCCTGCCGGTGCGCTTGGGGCCCTTGGTGTCGGGGGCTTGGCGCTTGGGCGTGTGTCGGCTCGGCCTGGTGTCTGCCTGGTGGGGCTCGGGTCCTCTGGCCCTGTCGGGCCTTGGCCTGGGTGGTGTGAGTCCTCGGTGCCCGGGCCTCGGTGCCCGGACCTGGACCTACATCGGTGCGGCGGGTTCCGACGGAGGCCTATGAGTTTGTCGCTGTTGGCCCCGGGGGGTCACTGTATGTGGTCGCTGGTGGGGATCTTCCGGTTCTCCCCTGTGGTCCGTTCTGGGGGGTGGGTGAGTGGTTCGTCCTGTGTGGGTGGCCCTGGGGGCTCCGCGGTCGGGGTCCCTCCTGGGGTCTTGGGCTCTGGTCCCCCCTTTTTCGTCTGCCTCTGGTCTTGGGGGTCGGGTCTCTGCTGCTTCACAGTTACTAATAAATGTTCTATTAGAGAAGCCTTATACACTTATGCATGCTCACAACCACACACAAATAGAAGCAGGGATGCTTATGTAGGCTTTATATGTAGATATATAGATATGTATGTGAGTGTATATTCATGTGTATGTATGTATGTATGTATATAGGCGTAGGTATGGGTATATATATTTATGGAAACTTACTGCAAAGCCATGAATATTTTAAGTTCTTTATACATATGTATTTTGTTGCTGTGTTTTGTCATGTTCTTTGCAGGTGAACAGACAGTGGCCGGGTGTTTTGCCGTGTGCTCTCTTTGTGTATATTTCTTATATTTTGGAGTCTTACTTTGTCTTTTCTTTCTTTCTATCCTATTAAAAAAAAAAAAAAAAAAAACTACACTAGATAGTCACTAGAATAAATATTTCATAATAATGGTGTGGAGAGGATGGCTGTAAGGGGAGAAGGGAGGCCATCAGAAAAGAAAAAAAAAAAAAAAGAAATCTGAAATCCTCCTTTATTTAAAATTGTTTGTTTGATGTAAGTGGCTTCCTTCACCTACCCTTTCAAATCATCTGTCTTCTCTGTTCAACATATGAACATTTTGGCCCTCAGCAGTGTCCCTTATCCTTGTAAATATTGGATGGACTGCTGAGTCTGGTCCTGAAGAGCTGGTTCTCCTGTGTTGAACCATGCAACTGTGATTACAGTAATGATGTCATAAAACTCACAAACAGGCTATTTAAAGAGGTATTTCCCTTAATTAATAACCACGTCTTGGATCTGTTTAATTTGTCTCTAATGAGTTTTGTACCAAAGCATTTTACAATTTCTGTAATTAAACCTTTACTTAAGAAACATAACCTTGACTGAGGAATCCTAGCCAGTTACAGACCTACAGTATATCTAACTTTCATCTAAAAAAATTCTAGAGAAAATAGTTGCTGGTCAGTTGCATGATTATCTGCAAAGAAATAATAATTTTGAAGAGTTTCAGTCAGGGTTCAGGGCTTAACACAGCACTGAATCTGCACTGGTGAAAATTACTAATGATATTCTCATGACCTCTGACAATGGACTTGTGTCTATACTGGTCCTGTTAGACCTCAGTGCTGCATTTGATACAGTTGATCACAGTATTTTACTACAGAGGCTTGAATATGATATTGGGATTACAGAAACAGCTCTAAAATGGTTTAAATCATATCTATCTGATAGATTCCAATTTGTAAATGTAAATAATAAATCTTCTTCATACACCAACATTAGTCATGGAGTTCCTCAGGGCTCAGTGCTTGGGCCAATACTCTTTATTTTATATATGCTTCCATTAGGTAAAATTATTAAACAGCATGGGATAAATTGTCATTGTTAAGATGATGACACACAATTATATTTGTCCATTAAACCCAATTAATCCAATCAGCTACTTAGACTACAAGTATGTCTTAAAGACATAAAAACATGGATGACCCTTAATTTTCTCCTTTTGAGCACAGACAAGACTGAGGTTTTGTTTTTTGGACATGAGCACCTTAGGAATTCATTTTTCAGTCTTTCTCCCTCCTTAGATGGCATTAATCTGTCCTCCAGCTCTAATGTTAAAAAATCTTGGTATTATTTTTGATCAGAACATGTCTTTTATCCCCCACATTAAAAACGTTACTAGAACTACCTTCTTCCACCTCCGTAATATCACTAAAATTAGAAACATCTTGTCTAAAAATGATGCAGAAAAATTGGTCCATGCATTTCATTTATCCTTTATTTATACAGGTAGTCTCACTGAGCTACAAGAACTCATTTTCAAGAGAGACCTGTTTAGGGAGCAGATGGGGGTTAAGGGCCTTGCTCATGGGCCGAGAGTGGAGCGAATAAGGGTGGGGGCTGATGGGGGTGCTTCACCTATCCCGCCCACATTTTTGATGTTGTCGGTACCGGGGCTTGAACCGGCGATCTTCCAATCACAGGCTCACCTTCTCTAACCTCTGCGCCACCACTCCCATTTGTCACGTCTAGACTGGACTATTGCAATGGTTTATTATCTGGGTGTCCAAATACTTTAAAATGTCTTCAGTTGATACAAAATGCTGCTGCCAGAGTCTTAACTGGAGTTAGTAGGAGAGATCATATCTCTCCAGTTTTAGCTTCTCTCTATTGGCTCCCTGTCAAGTCCATAATAGATTTCAAAATCTTACTTCTAACCTACAAAGCTCTCAACAACCTAGCTCCATCTTATATTACAGAGTCAGAGAGTCAGAGATTCTTTATTGTCATTCGCACCTCATGTGGTACATGTGGTGGAGCGAAATTATGTA